ATATAATTTTAAATAGCGTAATACTATATAAAACATTTTAAACTTTCATAATTTTGTCTATTATTTTCATGTACTTTATCCTGGAATCTATCTATATACTAAGGAAATAAATAATATATATAAAGATGGCGTTGTAAGAGAAAAGAATGAGTCGGAATAAGTCCACACGGAAACGTTTGACGTAGAACTGTATATAGAATTTCGCCAGTCACCTGTTAAATAGCACGAGTATGAAGAAATCCATTATATTAGACCAAGTTGTATATCATTTTAATCACTATGGAATATAATAGAGACTGTTTCTAGAATCATCTCCTACACCTAACCTCTGACACATCGCGGTGGAGCTCATGGCTTTGTGAAGAACATAGCTGGTCGCATGTCGAACAGCACTGAGAAGGACTTGCCATCTGCGGATACTGCGACCGCATTGGCCTTTCTGTCCGTATCGGCGGTGTGTGCAAAGTCTCCATTCAAGGACCAGACTCGGACAGTTCGGTCCTCCGACGCAGAGAGCAGTGCATTCCCCTCGGCGGCGAATACAACATCCACAACCGCAGCTCCGTGAGCCCGTAAGTCGCGGCGCTGGTTACGGGTCTGAGCATCCAGGATTCTGACACTGGAGTCTTCCAATCCGCAGGCAATATTGGCCCCGTTGGGTGAAAAAGCCACGCTTCGAACGACGGCCCCAAGAGGATGCGTCTCAACGACCCGGTCTTTGCTCCAGAACTTGATAGTCTTGTCGGCAGACGCGGTGACGAGAGTACCGTCTTTCGGAGAGAATGCTAAGCTGTACACAGCAGCTTGGTGCTTGTCTTGCACTGGGATCAGGGAATGCGAGCTTGCATCCCACATCTGTACTCGGCCGTCGTCGAGCCCGGCAACAGCAGTCTGTCCGTCGGGTGAGAAGGCACCCGATTCACCCTGACGTCCTTTCTCCCCTCCATCAACGTGTAGCTATTACTCGGGGTACCCGGTGGTCCGACGGTATACACCTTCACGACCCCGAAGAAGCACGCCACAATGACAGACTTCCCGTCGGGGTGCCAGGCGATGCTTGTGGCAAGCCCATCGGCCGATGGCATGGTGGTCACCCGTGTCACTTGCCCAGTGGTAACATCGTAAACATCGATCTTTCGAGCGACATCCACGGTCACCACCTGGTTGGCATTGGTTGGAGAGTACGCCAGCGCTGTGGCTCTAATTGCGTTCTTCGTCATCGCCTGGTTGGCCGGCCATGCACCGTTGCCAATATGGTTCTGACCATCCCGGCGGCACTGTTCAAGCTGCTGCTGGGAAGTTTGCTTCTGCTCCTCGAGTTTCTGGTTGCACTCCGTGTTTAAAGTACCTTTCTCGGTGTCACATCTCGTCTTCTCTGCGGCTATGTCCCGATCACACTTTTCCTGAGAGGACTTTCTCTGCTCCTCAAGTTTCTGGTTGCACTCTGTCTGTAAGGCGCCTTTCTCAGTGTCGCATTTAGTTCTCTCGGCGGCCTTGTCCTGGTCACAGGTCCTTTTGTCTGCAGCCTTCTCCTGATCGCAGGTCCTTCTGTCTGCGGCCTTGTCCAGTTCGCACTGGGTTTGGCAAACTTTTCTCTCGTCGTCGAGTGTCTTCTTGCACTCAGCCTGCAAGGTGCCTTTTTCCTTGTCGCACTGGGCCTGCGTCTCCCTGACTTTGATGGAGCAATCCTCTTGCTCCACCTCACCTTTGTACGTCATCAGCAGGTGCCCCGGAGCATCGTCAAGTCCCGGCGCTGTCCGATTTGTGTACCAGCAGGTCCTCCTGGAGGGGTCCCATGCCGCCACTTTGGCTCGTCCTGTGCGGATATAGGTGACACATTGCTGGGCAGAAAGCAAGGATTGTCTGGAAATCTGGCCATTCGTGTCGGGCCTTTTGCCGCAGTTAATTTCGATGATATCGGAGCCAACGGTCTCGGTGCGCGGCAAGGTCCCGCTACAGCAGTCGCTGAGGTCTTGTACTTTGCCGTCGGACAAGGCTTTGCAGCTCCCCGCATCGCCATTCACAGCGCTAATCCCAGACAACGGGCTGACGCCTAGGGCTGACAATAGAAAGACATTCAACCGCATGGTTACGATATACAAGAAACCCGCTTTCTGTTGAAGATGGAGATGAGAGGATGGGGACCAGATACTTCTGCTTCCTGGCTTCCCCTTTCTTTCAGCGTAGGGTGCGGATAAATACCCCCACGGCAGAGCCTTTGCTTGCGGTGCATCGAAAGAAGTAGCATGTGCTAGACTCAGCGCGTCATAGACTGCCCCGGGGGTACCCGAGTGCATCTGCAAGCGTACATACATGACAGTCCTAATGCGTCCGTCCCTGTGTTATGCCCCACTCGGAGTATTGCAACCTAATACTACTCTATCCTGACATGAGACAGGCACATCACACTCTTGATGTCACCGTGATAGGTATTATCCTCCAAAGTCCTCACCGTTGAGGGGGACCAGAACCAACATGTACGAACTCATGAACGCAAGACTTGTACCGTTTGCAGTCACTAACAGAGGCACGGATAATCACCATAGTGGTGCACCCTCATATCCAATTGGTCACCTTACGCTGCAGGGGATACCCGTAATCCAGCTTAGGATGGCCCGATATCGTCAATGTGACTTGTGATATGCGAGTAAGACGCACATGCCAAATTTTGTGTTCCTGGAACTAATTCAGGGACATGCACAGAGAGGTCAATGAATAGTCTACTTTGGTTGTAGGAGTGTGTAATTCTGGCAATAGATCTTGATTTGACATTAATCAAAAGATATAACCTATCCAGCCTATTTCCTAAATCTTCCTCGCACCCCTTTCCACATCACCCCAGACATCTCCAAGACTACCAACACCAACAGAATGAGGAATATTTGCCATCACGGGGTTAGGAGTACATAGTGAGCACCTAAGCCTTGGGCAGCGGACCAGGACGGTCACACTTCGTGTAGCAAATATATCCACCTTCGTCGGGGTACTCGATCGGAATACAGTCTTCGACTCCGTCAAATATCCAGCCAAGCTCACAAGGCTTCACCGGCAAACACTGGATCTTTTTTTTGTCCCAGTACTCTCCACGCTGACAGTTGTTGGGTACGCAGGTTTGTCCTTGGCGGTGCTCACCTGGTTTGCAATCCGGCAACCGCTGACATGTAGAGCCATTCCAGAAGGTATTCGGGTCAGGGCAAGGCGCACAGTCTTTGGCCGGTCCCTGGTAGTAGTGTTCCGGGTTCAGGCATTTCGGGCGCGGCTGACATCCGGTGGGACTGGCGTATTCGTCCGGCCGACACGTCTCACACTGGTTCTTCCAGGGAATGTAAACCTTGTTCTCGTCCGGATCGCAGAACTGCTTCTCTTCACATCTCTCTTCCTGAACGAGATACACCTGGCCTGGCAAGCAAGGGGGCGGCGTGCAGCCCTTCTCGGGATCCCAATAATAATCATTCAGACAATGGGGGTTGGGCGCACAGTCTCGGCCGTTGTAGTATCCCCACGGCCTGCAGCGCTCACGGTGGTCGCAGGCTCCCAAGGACCAGAAGAAGACCTGGCCCTCGGGGCAGGAGGGACGCTCACACCGCTGCGTGGTGGGATTGTAGTATTCATCCGGGGGAGTGCAAGGTATACAATCCACCCCATTGTGTTGGAAGCCCGCTCGACAGCAGTGATACCGCATGGTAACTGGATCCATCACTGCGTTTGTTTTCGGGCAATTGTCCGTGTTCTGCGCGTGGGCTGTGAGCGCCACGCTCAGAATGACGGAGACATGGGAGAAACGCATGATGATCACTTGTTTCAGACTCTGCAAAGAATAAGAGATCAACGACTGTGGAATAATTCGGTCTGATCAGCCTGGCAGGGAAATCCAACTACTTATCCCTTTGCCAGGCCTTCTGAAATCTCTCCGGAAGTGTTGAAGTCATTGAGACCCTCCGAATGCAACACCGCGCTAGGACAGGTCATGACGGCGAGAGTGAAAAATATTTTCCTTGGTATGAATACGCAGTACAGCATAGTACCCTCTGCCTTGGTAATGGTAGTAGTGACGTTTACGTTCTTGATATGTTACCTACAATAGGTGACATTCCAAGCGATGCGGAAGCCATCTCCGGATGTGACCCTAAACTTCCGCAAACTGACAGCTGCTAGTGATAACTGTCCTGTTTTTTGGTTTTTTTTTTTTTTTTGTTTTTTTTTTTTTTTTGTTTTTTAACGCAAGTCGTCTAGAACGAATAGTGGTTTTGATTAATGGACAAATCTCATCTGTACCCACAACACGTCACGTCGAGGCCCACTCCGTATCACCCCAGGGGGTTGTTGTTCTCGATCTCATGGGCGGGACGAAAGCGGAGACGGCCACCTTGCCCTACTTCACTTGCAACCGTTGCCTCCCTTGTGGATATATTGGAATAAAATGCATTACCACCAGAAGTAGGCTCCAAAGGTTCTTGCTTCTGCTCTTCAATTATGCTGGGTTGCAGCCACAGTGGTGTCTGTTGCGGACCTTGGACTAGTGCTGCCACAGAATAATATCATGGCTACAATAGAATAGGTGGTGAAAATATTACACTTGGTAGAATATTCAATGAAAGAATAATATTTGGGTATACGAATATGACAGATTATTGAATACTATAACAACGATAATAGTGACGGATTTCAAGATTTGTAAAAGAATAATACGAAGATCTCTCCGTGTTAGTGTTCGTACGGTTGTCCACTGCTAGGGAGCATGTATATACTAGCGTGTTGTATGTTGGGAACCACCAGATACACATTAGTAACATCTTGCGAAGGATAGTCGATTGGTATTGACAAAAAGTCTATACCATGTTGAATGAGTTCTAAGTTAATGAATCCGAGAATTGAAAGGACGAGGAGTATGGCATAGAATAATTTGGTAGGTGCACCTAAAACATCTGAGGTGGAAATAGATTCTTGGCGTTGGTGACAACCACCAGACTTGCTATGCATGCTCACCTTCGGATCGACATACTCGTAGGCTCTCTCTGTTCTAGAGCACTTCAGCCAATGGCGATGTGGAGCAGACGCACCCACACTAAATCCCGCAAATACTGTGTGGAATGCAAAAGAAGAAAAATCAAGGTATGCCTCTTCAGAAGTTCGCTTCATCTCAACTAACGAATTGCCGTGAAAGGTGTGTGATAAAAGCAGCCCATGCATCAATTGTCATAGATATGGCGTATGGTATTCCCTGGCGGTGGGAACTGGGAGAGGTAGAAGAACCAGGAAGACCAGGGGGGCGGATTTGCTCAAGTAGTTCGTCTAAGCTAGCATATCCTGGATTCAAGGATAACCCTAGAGTGTTTGTTGCCAATATATTTGTCTATGCAGGGAAAAGTATCGTGGTATCACTCAACATAGGGCTTGTCAATGTAATTCACAATGTTTGAATAGCACTCAGTCTACTGGTGTACAGTCGGATGCCAGACTTTGTTTCTAATCAATTCGTTATGCCACTTAAGCTATGTGTGTAGAGTACAAGAGGCTGAGCAGAAGTAAAGAAAATCCAATCTTCATCCGAGCTGAATAAGAACGCATGATCTAGTTCTTCAGATCGGCTCTTTCCTCTGGCCTAACATCACTGAAGGTCATGAAAGCCTCTGATTGATCCTCGTTCAAGTCTACCTGGCATCTATCCCAGTTCCAGATAAGTAACAGCTCTTAAAGTGCCTTTGCATACAATAAATTCGCAAGACTTTGTCCACCGCTCAGTTGTGTGGAATTGTGCGAACTGTTTAATTCAACAGGAACATGGCCTTCATTGATGGGACTTGCAGGTATGGGGTGTGTAAACCTGCCACAAATACTGTGCCGTACAACTCAACTAGTAGAGCGTACATATATTCCTAACAAACTACGGTTGTTCTATTGCGATATGCTTTTAGGGAAACAAGGGGAATAGACATGCATGGGCAGTATTCCAGGAAAATATAAGAGGAGGGGAGGCTACACTAATCCGTACGATTTTAATAATTGTAGTCACAGATAGAGTTGGGTTTGGGGCGGCTTCGGGTTCTAGGTCCAGGACAGGACTCTCGGGATAGGGTGCACGCCCCAGTTTTCACCAAAGTCTATTGCATCCTGCTAAGAAACGTAGATCCTAATTCTCGAGTATTAGCTAGGGAGACCCTCGGCAAGACCCTGAAAAATTCAAGACAGACATCGTCACCTCCATAATAAAGTTAAGTTGCGTCTATGACAGCTAAGTCAATGACATAGCCCCGTTGTAGCCTTCATTCTATTTCAAATTAAGGCTTATTATAAAATAGGGGTAAAAGCTTAGTCCATACCTTACTATAGCATCTAGTTCTATAGTTAAAATATATCCTTTAAATATCCTTTATATCTATATAAACTACCTAAATTGCCATAGAACTGTACGGAGCTCTTCATCCTCTTGTGACCCTCAATCTTATTATTGCTGAGCATCTGGAGCATTTCTTGTATAACAGAGCTGCTGGTAGGTCTGTGAAAGCTTGATTGATATTTATTCATGTCTGGCTTACTATACGTCACTCTCTGCCTGATAAATGGACCCCCACTGTAGTGCACATTCAATGTTCAATCTTGATAATCGTTCAGTTCATCCATTGAAAGGAAACCGATATCAGATCAGGGATTCTCGGTTGGTGCATTGATCTATCTTGATAATATTCTCCACAAGTTGCAGGGCTAACGTGATTCCTGCGGTGTGGCCAAATTCCTGAAGACGTTGAATGATCCACTTCCGGGCTTCACCTTCCATGAGCAATGATTTCCCTGCCGTATAGAGAGGCCAGGTCATCATATATCCAGCCGACCCGTTGGTAGGGGACGAAACATTGACAGCGTGGCCTGTCTCAGATGCCGAAGATATAGCCCCCAAGGCCTGTGGAACTGTGGATATTATATCCTTGCCAAGCTTTGACACGATTTCTTGTGTGTCTAAACGCTGTAGCTCTATATGGGCCCGGGTAACTGGTTCCAGGTCTGCAGAAAGAATTTGGTTCGAGATATAGTGCATAGAGTCGCAGGTTCTAATCTGAAGGATTCGTGCGTTGTTCCAAACCCTGATAGCCCAAGAGTTCGTGTAGACGTCAAATCGCTCGTTGTAAAAGACCGCTGGGTCCTCGCCTGCTTTCCGGGAAGTTGCATAGCCTGATTGCATAGAGAGGGTCTCGACAATATATTGCAACTCTTCCTGAAGACCAGTCGCCTGTTGGAGTAATGTAGGCCAAGGGATTTGCCCCCTATTCTTCCTGACACACGATAAAAGCTTTGTGCACTGGGTGGCCACTACGCCAAGGCGCCAGAACGCGCTCGTAGGTCCATGTGCTTGATTACTTCCTCTTGCAACTTACACATGTCTTCTGGAAACGGTTGGCCACTATGCATACAGACAGCCACCATATCCGCGCGGACTTGGTTGAACATAAGAAATGAGGCCCTTGATGAGAATTGACTCTTGCCTCGGGCAACCACCAGCGCTGCAGCTCCCTGGACATGACGGGCCCAGGATGAAAAGTCCGAAACGTGCTCGAAGAGTCCTAGCGAGATCACTGTCATCAAGGTGCTATCTTTGATAGACTCTGTGGGTGATGCCAGTGCCACATTTACCTGATTGATCGCTTCTGAATACTTAGCGCGCGCATGCTTGGCTAGTTGTGGTTGCCCAGTTGTATTAGCTAATGTAACAAGTCCAATAGCGGCCATACTGGCCACCAACATTGGTGAGCGCTGGCTATCAATGACATAGTCAGCTGGAATATAGTTAAGGTATCCGCGCGAAGAGGATCGGTAGTTGGTGACAAAGTTGCAGAGGAAATAATTGACTCCTATTGCATCATAGCTATTGCTCAGCTCGGGAAGCGATAGTGGGTTAGAGCTGTAGCTCCTAGGTAAAGTGGACGTGTCCTCTCTCTGTCTCCTTTTCTGTTTGGACCGTTTTATAGTGTGATCTGTCTGGTTGCGGAAGACGAGGTCCCACTCGTCTCGGTACCCAGGACATTCTTCGCAGGTGCGAATGCACTGTCCACAGTGAGGAAGCCGCTGATCACACTGTGAAGTGATAAAGCGAATTAGAACAAATCTTGGTGTACGAGAGGGAATCGGAAGAAGGTAGACAAATACGCACACGTCGCTTAACAGCACGACAGTTGCCGCAACTCCGGGATACTCTTGCGTGTGACTCACTGCGCAGTGCCATTCTGGTTACAATGCGGACGGATGCAACAGGAACAGTGGTGTAGGCTGCAAGAACTCTGCTGCCAAGCTTATCCGGGTGAGTTTCAAGGAAGCTTAACCTAGACAAGCTCTCGCTGCGATCGACGTTTTCAGGGCTTTGTTCATACAAGAAACGCCGTGTCTTCGCCTACCAATATATACTCCACGAGACTCGATTACAACGGCATTCTCGTTACATCCTCAGCTGAACAGAGCCCACAGGTGGCCCCGATTGACTATTCTGGTTGGTGACTGCACTCGATGATCAGCTCTACACTCTACACGGAGTGCCCAACCAACTTGACGATGCAGAGGTCTCGGCTTCGACTAGCTGAATGGTTCGTAATAGCCCCCGTTGTTACCTTATATTGAAATGCCAGTGATGCCATCTTATCAGGGCTTCGATGCATGTACCGAAAAACCGCTAAACCTGATCCCGTTAGCTTTGCGAGGGAGATGCTATGATTGGTGTCCGCTTGACCCACAGCCACGTTTGAGCTGAAGAGCATAAGGAAGACAGGATGAGCACAGACCAACACACACCATGAAAGGCCCATTGCTCGCGTTAACTTCTGTTGCGTAGTAGTTGAAATGCTCCGCCAATGGCAATGCCTACCTCGAAACAGCCCCCTTCCCACGGAAGTATGTCAACCACAAGGTTGTAGGACGTACACGAGGGGCTATGCTGAAGGACAAGGCCCATAAGGGTGACAGTAGATATAAAAAGAGACATACCATCTTCTTCTCAGCCAGTATTCTTCTTCTCAGCCAGTATTCCGCAAGTTCTTTTCTATCTTGGCCTGTTTTATTCTCTCTAAATTTTTTTTCCTTCTGTTGATCTACTCTTTCACTACTATTATGGGAAAACTCGATGAACGGGATGGCATTGCTATCCTCCAACTTATTATATTTCCATTTATCCTCGCCGCTGCAATTTTCATTTGGAACCGGGCTGGTTGGAGAGTCGGAAGGAAGATTTGGCGATATCCCGTCACGCTCTCGCTCCTTCGAATTGCCGGCAGTATATCTACCATGATAGCGATCGATCATCGCTCAACTGGCGTTACGCGGGCCGAGAATGTGTGCGAGCTGATTGGTCTTGCACCGCTGCTGCTGACCTACATCGGAATCTTGAGACAAATGTGAGTTGGTCACAAGGAGACCCTGGAGATCGATAAGCGTGGACTAATAGCGGTGCCATTCTCTCAGTGACACAGAAAAAAGAATACCTCGAAGGCCCCTCACGCTGGTGACTGTCTTGGCTTTTGTCGGCCTAATTCTTGGAATTGCGGGAGTTAGCACTGCCAATGTAACGTATACTAAGGTTGACGGGCATTGGACTTATACCTACCATCCAGGCGCTCTTGTCAAGGCGTCTATGGGTATCTTCATTGCTGTATTCGTTATCACTATCTTGATGACTGGTTGGTTGTTCTTCCAGCTTTGTTTCACACTGAGACGGTTTCAGACCAAGCTGTTCTTGGCAACTGCCTTTTCCACCCCCTTCCTGGTGGTCAGGCTAGTTTACTCGGCGCTCGGTGATTACGACAGCGACGACGAGCGATTTTCTCTGATCAAGGGTAACGCTACTATCTATCTATGCATGGCGGTGTTGGAGGAGATTGCTGCTATGGCCATCACTATGGCCTTGAGCATGTCGGCTGTGCTTGAGAAAGATTTCGTAAAGCTCCGCCGACCTGAGCAGGAACCCGAGGTCGGAACTGAGCCAAAATACAATTCTGTCTAGTTGTCTATTTGGCAGTTGAAGGGTGGATTTGTTGAGAGTGTAAACTGATTTCAGTTTCGTTTCTTTTCTTTTCTTTTCTTTTTTTTTTCTTTTCGTTGTTCAAGGGAACATGAAATGCAGTACCAATGCGGGAATAGAAGGTCAGGATTAAATGAGTAGCGTGTTTTTCGATTAGCCATTGAATATCGAGTCCTCAATTTTCGAAAGCCCTCTTGTTTTTTTAATCTCCCACCCTGACACCAAGGAAGGTGGCTCATACAACGCATAGACGGTCAATGCTTAATTCTGTGCCAAGTCCCTCTGAATGCTCGGCGATGGATCCTTCAAAGCTTCTCTAACTTCATTGGAATCCGACTGCAGCCTTCCATTGTGACAGCATTATATCCCCACAAATATTCATCTATCCGCAAGATAGACACGCGAAGGAGTAGAGCTTTCCGAGGAATAGGGATACACAGTCGCCCAATGTTGGCTGCAAATATGATTGATCAAGCTTCTTCTTTCCCCACTTGTGATACGTTTTACTACGCAGTATTCTTTTTCTTCCACCATACTAAAGAAGGTAATTGGGATGCTAGGGTATCAGCCGTGGGGGCGATTTTATGCAAGACGTCGGCATTAATATCTGCGTTGGTACTATCTGGGTGCCGATCTCATTCAACCCATTCCCTACGCCAAACTTAATGTGGTAACTGAGATGTTCGGCCTATTATAGAGGAGCCCTGGGGGCCATTTTCTCTTAGCTAGCACTAGTGGGTGCCGATCTCAGTCCTAAGCCACCGTCAGCCGCATCATCGGTACACTTACCGACTGTAGTGAGAATAATGGAAGTCGTTGGGAATATGCTGGCATATGGAACCAGAATAGATATGTGGGACCATGTGGAGACCCTAAATATTGGGGGCCGAGTCAGCCTTGTCCAGCAATAAGCTACCTCGCGGATTGATCCATTTTGAGAATCGGCATGGGCTGTGCCTTGTGGCCTCATGCTGATTCGTGTATCCGAGTACCTATATAACACTGGCCGAGTGCCTGCTTTCTTAGTTGGAGATGCGCTATCAACTCCTCGGCCGTTGTCTTTATAACTGTTGAAATACACCTTGTGACTTGAACATGAGGCAATCTTCACCCTTCGTCGCCGGACTGCTGTCCTTGGCTTCACTCACACAAGCGGAATTAGGAAAGATCCACTGGAAAGGACTTTGTGACCCAACAAATGCTACAGGGCCAATGATCTGTGGAACACTCGACGTGCCATTGGACTACACAGACTCTCAGTCCAACAAGACCTTGGCTCTTGACATTGCCAAGTGGCCGGCGACCAAGACACCGGTCGCAGAACCTATCATCTTCAACTTTGGGGGACCTGGTGTAAATTCATTCGAGGGTCTTGGATCATATGGAGAGGAATTCCAGACGTAAGGCGATAGGCAAAACTTACCAGTCAAATACTGAAATACATTTCTTCTCTAGTATCCTTGGAGGTCGTAACGACCTGATAGCCTTCAACTCTCGGTTTGTGACCCAAGTATACATGAGCTTATGAACCATTCTAATTATCTATTTAGGGGCGTTGGAAACACCCTTCCGTTTTCCTGCTATAGCAATGATTCTTCCAGAGAGCTTGCATCGCTCCAGGCTCCAGCAGATGGCACAGCATCCAACATCGCCCGGGGGCAAATATGGGCCCAGAGCACAAACATTGCACGGGCGTGCTATGCCCAGAACGGCGAGAATGGAAGTCTTATAGGGACGAGCTTTGCGGCCAGGGACACGATGCAGGTCCTTGATGCTCTTAGCGGAACGGATGCTTTGCTGAACTACTGGGGTAAGAGCCACAGTTCCACCTAGACCCGTGGTACATTTCCCTAATTGTCACTCACCAGGAATCTCATATGGCACTACGGTTGGTGCTGTCATGGCAGCCATGTTCCCGGAAAGAATGGGTTATGTGGCACTCGATGGCGTTGATAATCCGGCCGAATACCTCAACGGATAGTAAGTGATACCTTTGCTTATCAACAGCAGGCCCTTAAGTAATTACATATTCTCAAACTGAACAAAGCTGACAACCCATTCTCTTTTCTACACAGCAACGCACAAGCCGTTGTGGACGTCGACACCGTGTTACGAGGCTTCTGCTCGGGCTGCTTTGACGCACCTGACCTGTGCCCCTTATCGAAGCTGTACAGTAGTGCCGCCAACCTCGAAGCCGCGATTTACATGATGCTCGAAGCGCTCAAGTTCAATCCCATTCCCATCCCAGACAATGGAGGGGTCGTGACTTACAGCGACGTCAAGGCTACTATCTTCGAGGCGCTATACGCTCCAAGCTCCTGGCCGTTGACCTCGGAGCTCATTTATTACGTACAGACCCGCAACGCAAGCGTCCTTGGTACTCCCAAGGTATACTCGACCCTAAAATCTTACGGCCTGTCGGCGTCATTGACTTCATCTTCCAACGAGGTAGGGGACGGGATCAGATGTTCTGACAAGGCACATTCAGGCAGCTTGGCGGATGTGCTACCGTACAGCAAGGCCAGGGCGTCGCTGAGCAAGATAGCAGGCGATGGTTCTAATGGTGACATGCGATGCGCACAATGGAATCGGAAGATGTATGCCAAGGAACGGTACACTGGCGACTTCGATGTGAAGACAGCCCATCCTGTATTGGTGCTAAGCAACACCTTCGACCCATCTACTCCGCTTACGGCGGCGAAGAACCTGACCGCGACGTTTGAGGGAAGTGTTTTGCTCGAGCAAAATGGTTACGGGGTAAGGCTTTCTTAATTTCCATTTCATGCGAGCAGGCAGCTAATCTACTCGTGACAGCATACTACTCTGGCCATGCCATCTCTTTGCACGGCCAAGGCGGTCCGGGCTTACTTTGCCAATGGCACATTACCCGCAGAGGGGACGATCTGTCAGACGGATGTGCCTCTTTTCACAAATCTCACGTATGCCGATGTGTGGCCGAAGAATTTCAAACGGGGTGTTCAGTCTGTGGATGATGCGAAACTTCTCCGGGCTTTGATGTCGCTTCCTGAGAAGATGTCTCGACACAGGCTCTGATGAGGAGGTCCTTGTTTCACGGCCATGATGACGTACCCCTCCTTGTGGAAGTAAAAGGCTTGTGGATTAGGGGTGGTATACTGTGGGTAAAACATCTCGCTCAGTAGTAAGGTGGAACAATCCCAAAGGCCTAGCCGATCAATGCCAGGATGGTAGAACTGAAA